TATTAGCCAGGCATGGTGGCACACACCGGTGGTCCCAGCTACTCAGGGGGCTGAGGTGGGGGGATCTCTTGAGCCCAGGAGGTCCAGGCTGCAGTGAGCCATGATCACAGCACTGCACTCCAGCCTGAGTGACAGAGTGAGACCCTGTCCAAAATATAGACAAATAGGCCAGGGGCAGTGGCTCACACCTGTAATCCTAGCATTTTGGGAGGCCGAGGCAGGCGGATCTCTTGCGGTCAGGAGTTTGAAACCAGCCTGGCCAACATAGTGCAACCCCATCTCTACTAAAAATACAAAAAAATTAGCCAGGCATGGTAGCGAGTGCCTGTAATCCCAGCTACTCAGCAGGCTGAGGCAGGAGAATCACTTGAACCTGGGAGGCAGAGGTTGCAGTGAGCCGAGATCATGCCATTGAACCCCGGCCTGGGCGACAAGAGCAAAACTCCATCTCAAAAAAAAATAAATAAATAATAAAAATAAATAAATAAAGTACACAAAAATTAGCTGTGCATGGTGGTGGGAGCCTGTAATCCCAGCTACTTAGGAAGCTGAGGCAGGAGAATCACTTGAACCCAGGAGGTGGAGGGTGCGGTGAGCCGAGATTGTGCCACAGCACTCCAGCCTGGGTGACAGAGCAAGATTTCACCTAAAAATATATATATATGTGTGTGTGTGTGTGTGTATGTGTGTGTACATATATATACATAACTAACTAAATAATAATAAAACAAATGTCCAAACCAGAAGAGTAAGGGCTAACAGGGCCCAGAGGCAAACCTTTTATGAATGTTCTAACCATAAGTGCTGCCCTCACTCTCACCCCTAGGCCCCCAGCCTGTGGATTCTGGTTTGGGGGAACGGCACCATTCATGAGGGACCAGGACCATATGCTATAGGACCTCGCTGCAGTCTTGAGGTGGTATCTTCTAGCTGAGCTCCTACGTAATCCTGAGTGGTCCTGAGAAGCCAGATCACCATCCCGTAGGGGCGGGTCCTGTGGAGGGACAGGGTACATGGAACCCTGGTGAATCCCATGGTGTCTTCCCACTACCCTGTCCTTTGGCTGTAAAGGCAATGCCTTGGCTAGAAACAGCAGTGCATGCAGGAGCAGGCGGTAGGCTGGGAAGGAAAGCACCAGTGCTAGCGGAGGGCAGTAGGTCCAGATCAAGAATCATTTTTCCCATCACCTCGTAGTCACACAGTCCAGGGACGAAGACAGAACAGTAAGCGAGGAGAGGGGAACAGGATCATTTAAGACCACAGCTGGAAGATGTCCCTGAATGTTCGCACAATTTGTTCAAGGTTCTAAGTCCCGAGTGGGACACCAAGTTGGCCCAGCCTAGGCTGAGGCCCTAATGTAGCTTAGCTAATAAGAGAGAAGGAATGTTGGGGCCTTTCTAACCGCCATAGGGGGGTGTGGGCCCCCCATGAAGTGGAAATAGTGCCAGTGGGGGAGCATCAAGGACCAGGGCCATATCCTATAGGACTTCACTGCAGTCTTGCGGTGGCATCTCCCAGCTGTGCTCCTAAATGATCCTGTTCTCCCCCTGCACTAAATGTCCTGCCTTCATCCCTGGGAAAAGCCAGACCCTCTCCATGAAGGAAGGTGTCCAAAGGCAGTCAGCCCATGGCCAGGTGGCTGATCGGTCTCCCATGAGCTGTGGTTCCCTTCTGCAGGGCGGGACGGCACACTACTGACCTTGATCGGGCATCGGCTGCAGTGCAGGGGTGTCTGGAAGAGCTTGGTAAACTGAGTCCCTGTGGCTGGGCCACGGCGGCTCCCCTCCCCTCCATGTCTGCCTCAGGGCAGCACCAGCTCCCTTAGGGCAGAGGCTGCCTGTCTGCCATAGGTTCCAAGAACCTTTTTAGAGCTCAGTACCCAATGCACTTGACAGTAGACAATGCCCAGTCGTTCCAGCTGCAGGACTCAGCAGACAAACAACACCCAAGTCAGACTACACCTGATGTCCCTGGACAGGGTCAGTCTCCACCCAGGCCCAGGGGACGCCAAGTGCTGTATCTCCAAGCGAGAAGAGGTACTGGCCACAGAGGGCAAACTCTGCTCCCCTCGACGGGCACTGTGGCCTCCACCATGGCTTGGCTCGGGCTGCGAGGGTGCCTTGGTCAGCCAAGACCCCAAGAGGACCCTTGGGTCCCCGAGCCACAACAACTGAGTGGCTCAGCCCACGCAGGAACAGGACCACATGGGCATCATCACTGGCTGTGCCTCCTGTGGAAAGCAGGCCACCCGCTGGCGTACCTGGACACAGGGGAAGCACACATGCAAATGCAGGCTGTGTTTCCTCCAAAGAGTGCTGCACACGGATGAGTCAGGGTGCAGGACTGGTCCTTCACCACCACCGAGTGGGCATGCCCGGCTGCTTTGTTGAACCCCAGAGAGAGCTTCAGGAGAAAGCAGGAGTCTCTGTTTTCACAGGGTTTCCTTCTCACCCTGCCACACATGGTTTTTGTTAAAGCAACCTACAACTTCCTCCCCTCCAGGTCACATCAGCCCAATGTCCTGTGGGCTGGGGAGATAGTCAAGGTCCACATGGGCTAAATTATGACTGAGAGCTAGGGCATTCATGTATTGCCAAGGCGGGTCCACACTGCCATCCCTCCCAGTTAAGAGCAAACCACCTTTATGGTTTTCTACATGTTGGGATAGACTGAAAAAACAACAACAAAACAGGTGTTTGCTGGCCAAATAGCTGCTTGCCAGTACAAATGCCTGTGCTGATTTGTTCCAATTAAGAAGAAAACTGGTGCTCGCTTCAGCAGCACATACACTAAAATTGAAACCATACAGAGAAGATTAGCACGGTCCCTGTGCAAGGATGGCATGCAAACTCTTGATGCATTCCATATTTTTGGAACATACCTCAAAATAATAAGAGCCATATATGACAAACCCACAACCAATATCATACTGAATGGGCAAAAGCTGGAAGCATTCCACTTGAAAACCAGCACAAGACAAGGATGTCCTCTCTTACCACTCCTATTTAACATAGTAGTGGGAAGTTCTGGCCAGGGCAATCAAACAAGAGAAAGAAATAGAAAGTATTCAGATAGGAAGACAGGAAGTCAAACTACCTTTGTTTACGGATAACATGATCCTACATCTAGAAAACCCCATCATCTCAGCCCAAAAGCTTCTTAAACTGATAAGCAACATCAGCAAAGTCTCAGGATACAAAACCAACGTGCAAAAATTGCTAGCATTCCTATACACCAACAACAGGCAAGCCACGTGAACTCTCATTCACAATTGCCACAAAAAGAATAAAATGCTTAGGAATAAAGCTAACAAGGGATGTAGTTCAAGGAGAACTACAAAGCATTGCTCAAAGAAATCAGAGATAACACAAACAAATGGAAAAACATTCCATGCTCATGGATAGGAAGAATCAGTATCATGAAAATGGCCTCACTGCCCAAAGCAATTTATGGATCCAATGCTATTGCCATTAAACTACCATTGACATTCTTCACAAAATTAGAAAAAAACTATTTTAAAATTCATACGGAATCAAAACAGAGCCTGAACAGCCAAGGCATGGCACTGGTACAAGAACAGACACATAGACCGATGGAACAGAATAAAGAACACAGAAATAAAACTGCACACCTACAACCATCTGATCTTTGACACACATGACAAAAATAAGCAATGGGGAAAGGATTCCCTATTTAATAAATGGTGCTGGGAGACTGGCTAGCCATATGCAGAAAATTGAAACTGGACCCCTTCCTTATGCCATATACAAAAATCAACTCACGGTAGATTAAAGATGCAAATGTAAAACCCAAAACTTTAAAAACCCTAGACGAAAACCTAGGCAATACCATTCAAGACATAGGCACGGGCAAATATTTCATAACAAAGATGCCAAAAGCAATGCAACAAAAGCAAAAATTGACAAATGGGATCTAATTAAACTAAAGAGCTTCTGCACATCAAAAGAAACTATAAACAGAGTAAACACACAACCTAAAGAATGGGAGAAAAATTTTGCAATCTATGCATCTGACAAAGGTCTAATATCCAGTATCTACAAGGAACATAAACAAAAGTACAAGAAAAAAAGCAAACAAACCCATTAAAAAAGTGGGCAAAGGACATGAGCAGACACTTCTCAAAAGATTACAAACATGCGGCCAACATTTGAAAAAAAGCTCAACATCACTGATCATTAGCGAAATGCAAATCAAAACCACAATGAGATACTGTCCCACACCAGTCAGAATGGCCCTTATTAAAAAGTCAAAAAATAACAGATGCTGGAAAGGTTGTGGAGAAAAAGGAATGCTTTTACACTGCTGTCAGGAGTGTAAATTAGTTCAGCCATTGTGGAAGACAGTGTGATAATTCCTCAGAAACCTAGAGGCAGAAATATCATTCTACCCAGAAATCCAATTACTAGGTATAGACCCAAAGGAATATAAATTGTTCTGTCATAAAGACACATGCATGCGAATGTTTACTGTAGCACAATTCACCATAGCCAAGACATGGAATCAACCTAACTGCTCATCAATGATAGACTGGATAAAGAAAATGTGGTACATATACACCATGGAGTACTATGCAGCCATAAAAAGAAATGAGATCATGTCCTTTGCAGGGACATGGATGGAGCTGGAGGCCATTATCCTCGGCAAACTAACACAGGAAAAGAAAACCAAATACCGCATGTTCTCACTTATAAGTGGGAGCTAGATGATGAGAACACAAGGACACACTGGGAGAAATGACACAGAGTGGGGCCTGTTGTTGGGTTGGGGGGTGGAAGGAGGGAGGAGGGAGAGCATCAGTAGGAATAGCTAACGGATGCTGGGCTGAATACCTGGGCAGTGGGATGATCTGTGTGGCAAACCGCCATGGCACATGTTTACCTATGTAACAAACCTGCATATCCTGCACATGTACCTCTGAACTTAAAAGTTGGAAATTTTAAAAAGAATATCTGAAACTAGGGCTGCAATTATGTTACTACCTGATGTCAAGACCTCCCTGAGCGGGCAGTGGCTCCCACGTTGAAGAACTCTGCTTTGATGGCGTGCGCAAGTAGAGGAGGGATTGTTGAATCCCTGCGTACGTGCCTGTTCGTCCCCACTGGAAATCACAAAACACCTGTCCCAGCTTATGCATGGTGATCCCCCTTCTCCGTGATTTCACTTCCTGCAGTTGTCATGACCGATGGTCAACCACAGTCTGAAAAACAAGTGAGCACAATAAGATACTTTGAGAAAGACAGACCACATTCTCATACCTTTCATGACAGTATATTGTTATAATTGTGCTTTTTTCTCATTAGTTATTGTTAGTCCCTTATTGTGCCTAATTTATAAATTAGACCTTATAGGTATGTATGAATAAGAAAAAAACCCAGTATGTATAGGGATCAGCACTATCTGAGTTCCAGGCATCCACTGGGGTCTTGGAACACAGCCCCCGTGGGTAAGGGGCCCTGCAGTGCTCACCAGCTGTGCTTGTGTGTTCTGGTATGTATCCTTGCTCACAAATCTAAACATTCTGCCAGTCTGGTAGGTGTTAAATGGTGTCACATTATAGCTTAATTTCTATTTCCCTATTTACTTGCCAGGTTTTCATATTTCTTGGCCATTTCTGTTTCCCATTATGATGTGAAATGCCTGTTCACATCTTTTGCTCATAGTCTGACTGGATCTAGGCCTTTTTCTTGCTGGTTTATGGGGGTCTTTCTATGTATTGCTGGATGGAATTCATTTGTTGTTTATATGGAGGATGAATATTGTCTCCCAATTTGTGATTTGACTTTCACTTTCTTTATGGTGACCTCTGGTGAACAAATGTTCTTAATTTATTTTTTACCTTTTAATGAAAATCTTAATACAGAAAAAAATGCAGAAAGAATAATACAATGAACATGCAAATACCCACCATGATAGCTAATTTTATGAGTCAACTTCGCTGGGCCACAATGCCCAGCTGTTTGGTCAAATACCAGTCTGGATATTGCTGTGAAGGTATTTTTAATGTATGATTAACATTTAAATTAGTAAACTTTGAGTAAAGCAGGTTACCCTCCATGAGGTGAGTGGGCCTCATCCAATCAGGCCTTAAGGAAAAAGACCGAGGCTTCCTGGAGAAGAAATAATTTAGCCTTGAGACTGAAACGTACAAACTCTACCTGAGTTTCCAGCCTACTGGCCCACCCTACAAAATTCAAACCAGCTAGACCCACAATCACAGGGTCTAGCACCTTAAAATAAGTCTCTGTGTATGTGTATATATGGATATATATGTAATGCATACATATATTGTATATACTATGTTTGTGTATTATATTAGTTCTGTTCCTCTGGAAAACCCTAATACAGCCAGCACCTAGATTAAAACAACATACGCATATTGCCTTGTTTGCTTTCTCTCTCTCTCCATATATATATATATATGCGCACACACACATATATGTGATTAATGTAAATTACAAACACATGGCCGTGGCACCTCAAGCATAAATAAATAGTTCAGAAAATTCAGCATTCATCTCCAAAAATAGAGGATATTTTCCAATGAAAGTACAATCCCACTATCACATCTAGCTAAGTTAAACAATCATTCCCTAATAGCGTTGAAAACATAATCCATATTCAATTTTTATCAAGTCCCCCAAAACACGTTTGTTGCTGGTTTGTTCCAGCCAAGATGGAGTCAAGTCCCATGCTTTGGGAATGTCTCTGTAGTCCAGTTTCTTCCCCATCCCCTGCCCATAATCTTTTCCCCAAGCCACTAACTTGTTTCAGGAGCATGGATCAGCAGCCAGACGATCCCAGACTCTAGGTCCCATTTCCCAAAGGTGTCATTCTACCTGCTCCACTCTCCCCTGCAAATTCCTGTAACTAAAGCTCAGAGCTGAGGGCTTGACCATATGTGAGACTCCTCAGGGGATGCTGTTAGACTGTGTGCTCCTTAAAGCCCACATCGGAGGTAAATGATGTCTGCTTGTCCCTCATCAGTGAGGCAAAGGCCACCAGGGGGAGAGCCAGATATTTCCATTTGCTATGGTTTGAATGTTTGTGACCCCTCAAAATTCATGTTGAAACTTAATCCCCAATGCAGCAGTATTAGAAGGTGGGGCCTTTGGGAAGTCGTGAGGGCTCCACCCTTGAGAATTGGATTAACACCTTATGAGAGAGGCTTCACACAGCATTCACCCTTTTCCCCTTTCATCTCTTCTGCCATGTGAGGATACAGTCTTTGTCCCCTCTGGAAGATGTAGCAACAAGGTGCTATCTTGGAAACACAGCGAGCAGCCCTCGCCAACACTGAGTGCTGGTGCCTTGAACTTGGACTTCCCAGCCTCCAGAGCTGTGAGAAAATAAACTTCTGTTATTTGTAAATTACCCAGTCTGTGGCTTTTTGTTATAGCAGCACAAACAGACTAAGACACGGTTGTAAAGTGATATCTTGTCTTTGCAACTAGCAACCAATCTGTGAGTGTTATGATGTAATTCAGGTCCCCAGCAAATATCTTCTTTTCTAGCTGGAGCATCTATTGATGGTCCTTGCCTTAATCACCCATCCCACTAGATGTTGCAAAGTACAAGTTTCTGATCGTGCAGCATCTAAAATAGTCCCAGGATCCCCTTCCTGATAGTGATACCCATGTGCCACCCCTCCTCTAGAGCACTGGCCAGATCTAGTCATTTGCTCCTAACACATGGATTAAGGTCAAAGTGATGGGAAGTCACTTCCTCCTTTCTTTACTTAGGCTGCAAAAGGACTCTGCTGTAGTTGGGATATTTGACCTTCCAAACCTCATGCTGAAATTTGATCCCCAGTGTTGAAGGTGGGGCCTACTGGGAGGGGCTTGGGTCATAGGGGTGGATCCTTCATAAGTGGTATGGTGCTGTCCTCACAGTAATGAGTGAGTTCTTGCTCTGTGAGTTCCCATGAGAGCTGGTTGTATAAAAGAGCCTGGTGGTTGGGCACAGTGGCTCACACCTGTAATCCCAAAGCTTTGGGAGACTGAGACCAGAGAGTTGTTTGAGGCCAGGAATTCAAGACTACTCTGGGCAACATAGCAAGACTTCATCTCTACAACAACAACAACAACAACAAAATTAGCCAGGCACAGTGGTGCCTGCCGGTAGTCCAGCTATTTGGGGGGCTGAGGTGGGAGGGTCACTTGAGCCCTGGAGTTTGAGGCTACAGTGAGCTTTGATTGTGCCACTATACTCCAGCCTGGGTGATAGAGTGAGACTCTGTCCCTAAAAAAATACTACTACACTCCAGCCTGGGTGATGGAGTGAGACTGTGTCCCTAAAAAATAAATAAATATTTTAAAAGACCCTGGTACCTCCCCACCACCCTGCCATGTGTTCTCTACACACGCTGGCTCACCTTCCACCATGAGTGGAAGCAGCCTGAGGCCCTCACCAGCAGCAGATGCTGGGGCCATGCTTCTTGTAGAGCCTGCAGAGCTGTGAGTCAAGAAACCTCTTTTCTTTATGAATCACCCAGCCTCAGGTATTCCTTTATGGCAACACAAATGAACATAGACAGACTCCAGCTCCCATCTTCTTATCCTCTCTCGCTCTCTCTACTGGAAGTCAGCTGCCATGTTGAAAGCCGTCCAATGGAGAGGCCCATGTGCCCAAGAGCCAGTGAGGAACCAAGGCCCTTCATCCACCAGCCCACAAAGAACCAAATCCTGCCCACAGCCACTAAGGGAGCTTGGAGCTGGGTCCTCCCCTAGTTGAGCCTTCAGATGAGGCCAAAGCTCCAATCACTAGGGCGACCTTGAGAGAGCTCCCGAGCTGGAGGACTCAGTGCTGAGCCACGCTCTGATTTCTGCCCTACAAACTGTGAAACAAGAAATGCTGCTTGGTTTGTTATTATTGTTGTTTGTGTGTTTCAAGGAAGTGCTGTTTATTTCTGGCACTACATACATCACATTTTAAGAAAATTCCCCAAGACGAACATACTTTTAAAAGCTACAGTTTTTACCAACAGGACATATCAACTTAAAAAAAAAAAAAATTGGTACTAAATCTTAACTATGATGAGAATGCTATTTATAAAATCTCCAAATAGAATCATATGCCAAGACTAAAAAATGTTTTTAAAAAAAGAAATTTGTATTTATTTACAACTTGACCCTCAAAAATAGTTAAGTGATTAAGACACGCCAACAGATAAATGGGCAGAGAAGTATACCTGAGAATTCACTAAGGAAGTACAAATGACTACTAGCCTGAAAATGTGTTTAACCTGACTATGACTAAGAAAAATGCAAATGTAAAATGAACCTGTTGCTTTAACCTTCTAAACTTGAGGCTAATTTGGCACACAGCCATGAATAACTAATACGTTGATTTTTGCCACTTTTTCTGTGTTCCTTAGCTGGTCCTTCCTTGGGAAGAGAAGCTCTTTCCTTCTTCAGCTGGGACTGCTTAGGAACCACTGAGAAATTCTTAATTTTATTTCTTAAGTCAGTCTTGCCCACTTATATTTAACTAGCAATGTTTTCATCTCATTGAAGCTTTCAAATTTGATGACCTAACCTTTTTCAACACTCTATCTTGAGACAATTATAGCCAAACAAAAAGTTGCAAAGAAATGCACTGAAGGCACCACGTAGCCTTTGCTCCAGCATTGACAATGCACCCAACTCTACTACGGTATCAATGCCAGGAGCCAACACTGATCCAGTCCAAGAGCTGACTCAGATTTCACCATTTTACTCATGAGTGTGGCACGAAGGCATCACCTCACACATGATTTGCTAATTACAAATAGGTAGATGTAGATGTGCCTTACAATGAGAAGACAGGGCAGTTAACACCTTAACATGCTTAGTATTACCACGTGTGGAACAACGTGTCATTAAGTGTCATATATGCCTCCTAATTTGATATAGGATGAATACACTATATCGCCTAGGAATTCTTCCTGCCAAAAATGCTTAATCTGAATCTAATCCCACCTCTAGGCCAAACTTCCAGTTTACAGGAACTACAGGGAATAGAGGAACAAAATAAATGACACCACAGGAAACAATCGGACAAAATTCAGTATGTGGGACAACGTACACAGCAAGTGGCTTAAATTAAAAGAGATGAAGGAGGCTATAACTAAACATATGAACTTTGATTAGATGCTGTTTGAACAAAATTACAAAAAGACATTTTGGGGGTAAGTATGGAAATTGGAATATGGACTAGACA